TCTATATTTAGTGATCTTATTATAAATTTATATTAAAATTTTTATATAATACTAATTTTAATATTTCTTTATAAAAAGTATAATAACTTAGTGAAGTAAATAAGTTGTTATTCTTTCAAGTAAGAAATTAAAAGTTCAAAACCTACTAATAGTAAAAATTTAAATAATTACTTGTATTATAGCAAGCATTTTCTAATAATTAAATTAAAATACCTATAATTATACTCATACCAATATAACTGGCAAGTTTTAAAATATTTGTGTAACTAATTATACAAAAAGATACAAACTAGTATTAGATAATATAAATCTAAAATAAGTTTTCATAACTGTATAATTTTGTAAAAACTAAAAAAACAGAAACTTATTTAAAAAAATCTAAACAAAAAAATAATACAAATTTTTAATAATATTACTATAATAACTATATCTAAAAAATAAATATTAGAGTATAATAACTTAATGAAGTAAATAAGTTGTCAACCTTTTAAGTAGTAGATTGTAAGTTCAAAACTTATGAATAGTGAAAATTTAAATAATTACCTATGTAATATTCATATTATAACAACTGTTTCTAACAATTAAGTTAAGATACCTATAATTATAGTCACATCAGTATGACTGGCAGGTTATAGAGTATTTGTATAACTAGTTATACAGAAAATGCAAACTGACATTAGGCAGTGTAAATCTAAAATAAGTTCTTGTAACTATATAAATCTGTAAAAATTAGAGAACAAGAAGCCTATTTAAGAAAATCTGAATAAAGAGATAACACAAATTTTTGATAGTACTACTATAAAGGCTAAATCTAAGAAACAGATATCAATATAAAGTATTTGGATAAGCAAAAACCTCTGAATAGAAGTACTACCAACTAGGTTACCAAAATTCCAATTAGAAGGACTAAAGAAAAAAGATATTAGATTGACTTAATATATTAATAGACTGGTCATAGTTCTACTAGGCTATCTGAATTAGAAGTTAAAAAAAAGACAGAAGTATACTAAAAGTACTAGAGATATGTTGTAAAATAATTGCTAGAGTTAGAGTAAACTCTGCAAAAGTAAGCTCTGTTAATGTTTTATAGAATAGGTAGATAGTTAACAAGAGGGCTTTCTAAGCTCTACAGTTAAATAATATGCTTTAAAATTGGATAATAGCTTGACAAATATACAGAAAGAAGACAAAATGTTGGGTTAGATAATACTTAGATGTACAGAAATCAAGATAGCTAATTGTCTAGATATGGTATAAGAACTAGAGTATTTAATTAGATAGTTTTCTAGTAAATTATAAGTATAGCAGCTAGTGTAGAACCCTTAGACAGACTACTTAAATAGGTAATCAAAAGTTATATATATGGTTAGTTGTATGCTTATCCTATACAAATAATATATAATGCATTAACTAAAAAATACAAATAAAGACATTAATTATTATTAATGTTAGTTTTAATATATAAAAAAAGAGAAACAAATATTAATATACAGAAGCTAAATAAAAAAGAACCTTTAGATAAGAAATATTATCAACCAGACTATTAGAATTAAACTAAAGAAAAAAAATATTAGGCTAATCCAAAAAATAAAATATTATTTTATTAAATTATCTAAATTAGAAGTCTAAAAGCAAAACAAGAGTATACTAAAGTACTAAGTATATACTATTGTTACAGAGTTGTAACCTTTTTGGTACAATGCAACTAAGTAACAAAGTCACCTAGTACAGTAATTGACTATTGCAAATATATACAAGATAGAGGTATAGTAGTTTACTTTATTATACAGTAGTAGGCAAATAGTTCAAAATAGTAACAGTATATAAATTAACTTTATTATCTAAATACACAATAACAACCTTGCCTGTAGAAATTACTCTAAAGGAAGAATATTACTTTTACAAGTTAGAGATAAAGGTAAGAAAATCTAGATTAAAGTATAAGAACTTAGAATTGGCAAGAAAAAGTGAAAGCTACTCTTTATATATCTTTTTACTTAGCAGAGATAGTAGGAATTTGAGTAACATTACTTAATATTGTATTCAATTAATGAGAGTTCAAACAATATTAGATATTATTGTACTTGAAACAATGAAGATTCAAACAACATTAAATAATACTATGCTTAGGGTAGTAGAAACTGTGCAGAGCCAACTAGAAATATTGTTTATGTTATTTGTTATTCATGCTTGAAACACTTGGGGCTTGTGTTTAGACACTTAAATTTATGCAAAGGCACTTGGGATTTGTATAAGAATACTTGGAGTTCATATAAAGACACTTGGGGTTTATATTAGGAATACTTAGAATTCTTATGCTGCAATATTTGGTATAATAATTTGGTGCTAGAATACATAAAACTTGTATAGGAGTACTTGAGATTTGTAAGATGGTAGTAACATCACTGATGTTACTTAGTGTTATATGACTGTATCACATTTTTAATAACCAATTAAGATTCTTTTTATCTATCTACTATATAATATAACTATCGACTAACTAATAACTAATAACTAATAACTAATAATAAATATAAATATAAAATACAATAATGAATATATATATAACTACTAATACTACTATGTTAAAATCTACTTTGTAACACTATGAAGTGGTACTAGAATTTAGATAAACTTTGCAAAAGCATAGTTCTATTAAGATCTATAATGTAAATAGATAAATTAGTAAAAAAAGTTTTCTAAATCTTATTAACAAATAAAAGACTTTAAAATATACAATGCTCTAGATATTAATACAAAAAAAAATAAAGTCAAACTTGAATAGTTTATAATAAAAGATAACACAGAGTTGTTTATCTTAAAATAAAATAATTAGAATTATATAAGTACTAATTAGAGATAAGCTAAAGAATTTAAATAAGCTACTTACAAATAAAAGTCAGATATGACAAATAGTAGATAACTTTAATACAAAACTCTTAAATAGACAATAATTAAAGTTGTATATATAACTAACTATATTTTTACAAAACTAAAAATATATATAAAGATATTACAGTTATGTCTTTTTAAGTGCATATTATCAAGACTATAATAAAAAAAATCTATATTTTGTACTTAGAAAAGGTTTGCATTTATGAAGAATAAAATATATAAGGTTCTTATAAGTTGAAGCCAACCTATAACTTGCATTTAGAGAGGTTTTACATAGTATTTGCATTTAGAAGGTGTACACTTAGAGGGGTGTAATTGTATTAACTAATAAAACTATTTTTTTTCCTCTTTGACTAGTCTTGCTGAAATCTTTCAATATTCTTTGCATTTTTTGAACTAATATCCTCAATATATTCCTGAAACTGAATCTTGACCTCCTTTGATCTATACTTTTAATCTTTTTAGAAGTGACTATTACACTGATTTTTGCTAGTATTAGAAGGCTTTGCCAGACTTTAGTCAAAATTATCTGTCACTATAAGTTCATGTAGTATCTCTCATTGTTAGCCTTTTAATCTTATATTATGTCTTATGACTTTAATTATTCTAAATTAGGCTCCAACTTGTGTTTATCACTATATAGCTTCTCAACTGCAAGTCATTTGTCATTTTCAAAAATAAGTCTGTTCATTAGACATTCTGGGTCTCTGGTTCTGCAATGTTGCAGTTTCCTATTTTGGAAATACATCTCTACAATTGCTATTACTAGGATTTGAACTGGCAACCTTGCAATTTGTGACCTCAGAGCATAACCACTATGCTATCGATCTTAGAGGTCATAAAACCAATTTGACTAAGTGATTGACTGCTGATTATTATATAAAAAAAAAATTCCTCTATATATATATAATATTATACTTTATATAAATGCTTTAAGTTCTTAATAATTAATAGAATTTAACTTGATGTATTTAAATTATAAATATATAAATTAAACCAATCAACAAGTCAGTTATCATAATACAAGTTAATTTTTTAAATTTTATTATTTATAGAATTTGAACATTAAACCTATTACTTAAGAGTTAACAACTTATTTATTACTTCAAGTTACTATAACTTATATATAATTCTATATAAATATCTAAAATATTTTTAATTAAGTTTAATTCAAATTACCAAATAAGATCAAGTTTAAAAAAAAATGCACTGCTTATATTTTAAAATATTTTTAATTTTATTACAACTTCTAAAAATATCTTAACAAACGTCCAACTAAATTTAATATAAAAAAAATTCATTGATTGCTAAGATATCTTTACTTAAAAGTTAAAAAAATTTAACACAACCTTTTATTTTAGAATATTTTAATTTTTTACAACATTGGGCAAAAATATCTCAGTAACCAATTAGGCCATGCAAAATTAATTGATTGATTTTCATAACCCGGCCGGGTCAAAATTTGAAAACTTGTAAAAAAAAATTTTTATGTTTTAATAACCGGGTGGGATTTTAAAAAAAAATTTATGAAAGTTTTATATATGAAATTTAAAAAAAAACCCCGGCCGGCCGGGTCTGTTTAAAAGTTTTATGTTATGAAAATCAATATATTAAATTTATGTGGCCTTAACCAAATTCAATGAATTTTTTTTATTAATTTAAAGAATTCCAATAAAAAAAAATTTCATTGAATTTGGTTGATTGTCAAGATATCTTTGCTCAAATTTTTAAAAATTTTTATTCAAAATTGTGAATGTGATTGACTGTCTAGATTATACAGTCGCACCTATCCCGTCGGGACCATAGTGAAAAAAATTAAAATTTTGCACTTATAGAGAGGGAATTTTGACAGGGCGCAGGATCGATTTTACTATCACGTGATTCTCAGAAAGCAAATGTTGTTAAGTTAAAAACTTCTTTTATATTTGAGTTTGAGTTTAGACTAGGTTAGAAAGGACTATAGCATAGCAAAATTACCCAAGGAAAATTTTTTTGTTAGAGCTCCAAAGACGATAAATGCGATTTTTGTTTGGAATTTCTTTACGTTACACCTGATACTGATCTCTGATTGGCTGATATAAGTCGGAAAATCATGTGACAGAAAAATGGCATTAGGATCATCAGAAACGGTGTCCAATAGAAATTCGTAAAAATGATCTACGGATGGCTTGGGTTAAAAGATAGCACAAATTTGAAATAATAATAGTTGCTTCTTCAATGGATTTAAAGTTAAAGCAAAATGTTATACTCGGATATTCGGATATAAATAATGCTGGCTTGTATGTAGTTTCTGGCGTTGAAGAAACGTGTATCGTTGAGCACCAAACGTATCATTTCAATAATACGAACGACAATACAAGTAATGTTGACGAAGGAAAAAAAATTGAAATAAAAATATATAATACCAAAGACGTTAAGTATCTAACAATGAATTTATGATTTAATTCACAAATTTTTTTGAATATCGATTTTTAATATTGGCATTCTTTGATAAAATAGAGAAGTTTCGTGAAAATACAAGAGTTACCATCTCAAAATAAGATAATATATTTAGCAGACGCGTTAATTAATCAATTTTGTCAAAATGAAGTAACCGATGTGATAATAGTGTCATCGATAAATTTTTCGGTAAATGCAGAAAGTGTATACTTGGGTTGTATACCAGATAGTGAAGAGGTAAAAAATGATGGTACGTATTATCATCATTGAATTGTTAAAAGGGTTTTTTTGTTGAATAAATCATTTTATTTTTGAATTGAATTAAAAAGAAAAGTTAAGAAAGTTGCCGTCAATTTGCAAATTACGGGATCACTTCTTTAACACAATGATCACACTGCTGAAAGTTGAAAAAATTCGCACAAGATGCTTACTATTCCCCGGAAAAAAGATAGGCGCAAAGGAAAGAAAATCGAATAGCAGCTATGTTTATGAGGTAAGTATCCAAATCAGAATTTTATTACTATATTTTATAATACTTTTTAACAAATTTTTCTTGTGGATCGAAGGTTGGAATTCTAAGATTATTGGTTGAGGGTCTAAAAGCAATTGTGCCTGATATTGAAATTTCAATGGATAAAGTATTAGATACCAAAGTTAAGAAAGAGTCTTTTGATGAGATACATGATACCGAAAAAGACACGTTAGATAATATGATATATATGTAGAAAAAATAAATAATGTACAGATTTATTAAATATTTTTATTTCGAACATGTTAAGAAATAAAATTGTATTTTGTTTTCTTTTTTAACAATCTACTATACCACACTTCATGATAAATGTTTTAAGCCAAGGAATTGGTCGACTTTATATTATTGAGGCTGCAACGATGAGTTCGTTTACATTGATTTGTAATACGAAGATTTTTTTTTAAAAGAGATATGGTTCAAAAGGATTATGTCGACAATTACAGTAATAACCGATTTTATTGCAGATATATTAAATTTAAAACCACACCTTCCTTCATGGTCCACAAATTACCATTTTAATTTCAAATGGTTTATCTTGCTGAGTTTTTGATCGTAATTTCTCCAATGTCAAGCGTAACTGTCAAGTGTCAGCTCGACCAAAAGATATTGAGAAATTTCTGGTCCATATCTGGATTGGGCGACTGAAATTATGGCCTCGGCTGCAGTAATCGGTCGGAACTTTTAGACCGGGGTAAAATTGTCACTCTAAAAAGTTTCGAAAATCATGATTAGATCATGATAATAATATTTATTAAATATTAACATAATTGATTTAGTGATTTGTTTTCATCGATTCTTTAAAGTTAAAATCGGTCGTTAACACACTATTCTAAAAGTATATGTTGATTGCCGTAACCAAATTTCCATTAACAATAAACGAAAAAAGAATGAAAATCGAAATAAAATTAGAAAAGCTAATCAAGAAAATGCAATTGAACCAGAAAATCTTAGATTTTATTTTTAATGCTCTTCCGGAAGATTCTAACTCAGATTATTTATTTGAATCTAGGACGCAGCAACCAAAAACTGCCATTGAATAAATTGGAGGATTATAATCATTTTTAAAATGCAATGAAATATTCAAAATACTTAGAAAAACCGTAATTATAATACTTTCTGGCTATTACAAATATTTATTACATTATTGAGTTATTTGAAATAAATAAAATGATTAATGTATTACTTATCATTATTATTTTGTTTTTTTCACCGATTTAAAACATGTGATGATTATGATCCGATTACATTATATAATCGTCACATGGTTTAAATCGGTGAAAAATGATTTTTTACCATTCCTAACATGAAATTTTTTAGTGCAGTAGTGCTTGATATATTTGTCACGTGGCGCAGTTCTGCCTGAAAAGCCGAAAATCTGCCTGAGCAGAATCCGCAGAATTTTTCTAATAAATGATTGGTAGATCAAATTTACTATAGTAAAATTGGAATTTCTCTTGACGTTTTTACATTGTTAAAGTTTTAAATATTTAATAAAAAAAAAAGCATTTAAAATTTTTTTAAAAAAAAAATGATTACTGCAAGAGATAGAATAGAAGGGTCATATTCTACACCTGAATATCAACAAGAATTTTATGTTGATAGCACTTCATTAATATGTCATGCATAGAGTTTGGAATCTGATTCGGGCTTCAGATTTAAATCCGATTTCGATTGAAATCCAGATATAAATCCAAACCTATTGAATCTGCAATACACTGGATCGGTAATTATTAATGTCCATTTTTGGTGACGACTCATATTAGTTATTAGTTCGTATAGAAAACTAAAGTTCATATGGAAGACAATAAATTTGACTAACTTTGGCCTTGTCTCTTGTGACGACCTAATATAGGAAGCAATGAATTTTACTTTTGAGTCTTATGCCTCTATGATAAATGTATTTATTACTAGTTCTGAAGAAAACTAAAGTTATAAATAAATAAAATTTAATCTTGGGCTTACATTTTTATGATAACTAATATTTATATAGAAAGTAATATATTTTACTCATTTTGGGGTTTTATGCTCTTTAATAAATTTTATTTGCTTTGACTTTATTTCTTTACAATAGATTAATAACTTTGTTATTTTTTTTTTTTATTAAGCAGTCATGCTAGTGCTTTATTAAGATTTTTGAAACTACTACTGTAATTGCATAAATTTATTTAACAACTAAGCCTAGCATCACCTGGCTACCCTAATGGTGCCTAAGTGCAACCTATCACATTACTTCTAGCAGAAGTAAGCTGCTTGTCTAACTACTTAAAGTCTGTAATAAAAGGGTTTTCCTCCTTCATGACAAGCTTGTTAATTGTCTTTCTAACTTTTTCTTTTATTTATTTTTCTTTTTTTCTTGTTTTCTTTTTTCTTTCTTCAATTGTTTGCTGACTAGCCTTTCTTTTTCCCTTTCTATTTGATTTTTCTTTTCTCTTTAGTCTTCTTTTTTTCTTTCTGCTTGTTATTTCTCTTTCTTTTTTCTATATGTTGACCTTTTCATAGCAGATTCTCCAAACTTGTTTGTAGAATATGTTTCATATTGTTTTTGGTATTATGTTTGCAAAATGTTGTCTTGTTTTCATACTAAAAATTTAAGATAATCTGTTTTGCATTGTCTTTGAGATTAGACTTTTGATCAATGTTTTCCTTATTTCTATTTCATCTCATTTTGTTTATTCAAAAAGTGTCATATATAATACTTGAAATAGGACTTATATTTTTTCTTTTTCTTTTAAACTCTTCTATGCTGTTGTAATAAATACTTTTTGTATCCTTTTTTATAGATTTGTTTGTCCTGTACATGATGTTAAATGTTCTTGTGTTTCTTTAATTTTACTTTGGCAGACTTGGCATTCTGCTGTTATATATATATCTGATCATTTTCTATTAAGTTCTTTTAATGTTAGGAGTTTATTCAATATATATTTCATGAAAGTACTTCTTCTTATACTGTTTTTTTTTGACAGGCAGTATACTTCTTTAGATGATTTTAGTCTTCTCTAGAAATATGTCCAATCATAAGTTATTACTTCTGCTTTTGGTTCTATATTCTTGATTACTATTGTTTCTTTTTACTCTGCTTCTAGTTTGGTATTTGTTACTATTTTATATAGAAGTCTTGCTGGTATGTCTATTCACTTGTTTTTCTACTCTAGACAGTACTCTATCTCTTTGTAGTTAACTTCTTCTAAGAAAATTATTTTTTTACTTAATGTTTCTTTCTTTACAAGACTATTAGCTTTATTATTTTATTTATTTCTATTATGACTTTTTACTTTGATCCACTCTATTTGTATATTCTTTGTTCTAATTATATCTATTATTTTTAATATCCATAGTGCATTTTTTCTTTTAAAAATTTCATTTTTATCTATACATACTAATTCTTTATCCATATTCCTAATTGTTGCATTGTTATCTATAAATATTACTAATTTTTTTTCTTTTGGTATTATTAAGATTGCTATTCATATTGGTAACATCTTAGCTATAGTAGACATAGGTCATCTTTTTACTTCTAATGCTACCTTCACTTCTAACCAATCTTGTGTTTCAGCTATTTGTACTCAACCTATACCCATATTTTTATCTATTGTTTCTTCTTTGTTTCTTTTATTTGCTACATTATCTGTATATATTGAGTATTTGTTTTTGTCTCTTAATATATTTCTTCTTAAGATCTTTATTAGTTCTTGATTAATATTCTTTTTTATTTTTTATTTTCTAATTAATTCTTTTTCTAAACCTTTTAGTACTTTTAATTCTATTAGTTTCTGTTCATTTTTTCTTAGTTCTTTTGTTCTTGTATATTCTATTAATTGGTCAGTAGCTGTCTTGATTATATTATTATTTCTCCCTATTAGTATATCTAGAACTGTATCTATTTTGTTGTTGATTCTTATCTAATATTGACAGCTATTTTCTTCTATTTTTTTTTCTCTCAAATATCTATTGTATTTGTCAATTTTTGTTATTAAGTCATTTTTTATATTGTATATTTATCAATATTTTATTAGTAGTTTCATTTTTTTCTTTTTAACTACTTTTCTTATTTGTCTATTTTCTGTTTCATTATGTATTTACTATCTATTCTTTCTTTTTCCTATCATTTGACAGAATTCTCTATTTGATCTTCTTTACTTGTATATTACATTTGTCTGTTTTAAATTGTTTCTTAACTTCTCTGCTTTCGATTTTGTTAAGCATTTTTGTCTCTATCATTTTGAACCACTTTGCCTTCTTATCTTTACTTAATTGATTCTAGTAGGCCTTGAATTGTTGTTATGTTATTAGTCTTCTTCTTTTATGTCAAATAGTTTATTTAAATATATTAGTCCTGCTTTATTTATTTTAGGTCTGCTTTTTTTCCATAGTTATAGTTCTACTAATTCAATTATTCTAAGACCATAGCCACTTGTTATCTATAGTTTACTTTCTGTGCTTATATTTATTTCTAACTCTTTTGCTTTAGCTATTGTCAAACAAACTAGATTGTTCTTTCAATATAATTTGTCTTCTGCCAATTTTTTTTACTTTCTATATATCTTTTATTAGACTTGCTCTTTGACAATTCTGTATTATTCTTAATTTTGTTAGCTGCTTTAGTTCATCTTTTCTGTTTAGTCTTTATATCAAGCCTCTTATTTGTTTTTTATTGTTAGTTCTTGTTGCAATGTTCTGCAACTACCAAAATCTTTGTGTTCTATTATACAGTTTTCTAATATTCTTGATAAGTCACTTTTTTGTTTTGCTAAACATATCATTAGTTGGTGTATTTCATTTATTTTCTTCTCTGATATCTTTGTTAATTACAACATATAGCTTAATTTTGGTATTATTACTATATTGTTTATATATACTATCTGGCTCATTATCATTTTCTTATATTTAAGGTTTCTTATTGTCTGGCTTATTATCTTTTTTGCTTTTTTCTTTACTAAGACTTCTCACATTTTGTTGTTTAGTCAGATTCCTAATAAATGTACTATTTTGTTTCTTGACTCTTCTATTATTTTGCTTTCTTCAAAATTTATTTCTCTTTCTTCTTTCTTAACTTTTCTGTTCATTATTATTAGTTTTGATTTAAATCTGTTTATCTCAATGTTATTTATTTTGAAGAAGTCTTCTGCCATCTTTAATATCTCTAGCAGTTATTTCTTGCTTTTTGCAATTCA